GCCGGCTGCTGTGGATCGGGCTGCAGCGACAGGCCCGGCAGTGCCAGCCGCAGCGCCCACTGCGCGGCTTCACGTGGACCACGGGAGACCAGGACACCGCCTTCACCAACTGGGCCCAGCCGGCCACCGGAGGGCCCTGCCCGGCCCAGCGCTGCGCGGCCCTGGAGGCCAGTGGCGAGCATCGCTGGCTCGAGGGCTCATGCACGCTGGCCGTCGACGGCTACCTGTGCCAGTTTGGCTTCGAGGGCGCCTGCCCCGCGTTGCTGGGTGAGGCAGGCCAGGCGGGACCAGCCGTCTACACCACGCCCTTCCACCTGGTGTCCACAGAGTTTGAGTGGCTGCCCTTCGGCTCCGTGGCTGCTGTGCAGTGCCAGGCTGGCAGGGGAGCCTCTCTGCTGTGCGTGAAGCAGCCTGAGGGTGGTGTGGGCTGGTCACGGGCTGGGCCCCTGTGCCCGGCGACTGGCTGCGGCCCGGACAACGGGGGCTGCGAACACGAGTGTGTGGAGGAGGTGGATGGCCGTGTGTCCTGCCGCTGTACTGAGGGCTTCCGGCTGGCAGCAGATGGGCACAGTTGTGAGGACCCCTGTGCCCAGGCCCCGTGTGAGCAGCAGTGTGAGCCCGGTGGGCCGCAGGGCTACAGCTGCCACTGTCGCCTGGGTTTCCGGCCAGCTGAGGACGAGCCGCACCGCTGCGTGGACACAGATGAGTGCCAGATTGCCGGTGTGTGCCAGCAGATGTGTGTCAACTACGTTGGTGGCTTCGAATGCTATTGCAGCGAGGGGCACGAGCTTGAGGCTGATGGCATCAGCTGCAGCCCTGCAGGGGCCATGGGTGCCCGGGCTTCCCATGATCTGGGAGATGAGTTGCTGGATGACGGGGAGGATGAGGAGGATGAAGACGAGGCCTGGGAGGCCTTCGATGGTGGCTGGACAGAGGGGCCTGGGATCCTGTGGATGGAGCCTACACAGCTGCCTGACTTTGGCCCGGCCTATAGACCCAGCTTCCCAGAGGACGGAGAGTCGCAGATACCCCACCCAGAGCCCACCTGGCCTCCCCCGCTCAGTGCCCCCAGGGTCCCCTACCACTCCTCAGTGTTCTCTGCCACTCGGCCTGTGGTGGTCTCGGCCACGCGGCCCATACTGCCTTCTGCCCACCAGCCCTCTATTATCTCTGCCACACACCCAGCTTTGCCCCCTGACCACCAGATCCCTGTGATCGCAGCCCACTATCCAGATCTGCCCTCTGCCCACCAACCCCACATTATCTCTGTCACTCACCCAGCACAGCCCCCTGCCTACCAGCCCCCCATGATCTCAACCAAGTATCCTGAACTGCTCCCTGCCCCCAAGTCCCCTCTGTTTCCAGACACTCAAGTCACTGATGCCCAGACCACCACTCATTTGCCTCGAATCTCAGCTAACCACGCCCCTCTGGCCCCCACCCCCAGTGCCCATCAACCTTCTCTGGCCCCTGATGTCCCGGTCCTCAGAACCCAGACCACCCAGCTTCCCATTATTCCCACTGTCCAGCCCTCTCTGACCACCCCTCCAAAGTCCCCAGTGCCCCCTGCCCATCAAGTCCCCATGCCTGCTGTCACCCAGCCCCCAGCTCTCCCCACTCCCCGCCGTCCTCAGAGCCCCACTAACCAGATCTCACCCATCAGCCCTACACATCCTCATTCCAAAGCCCCCCAAGTCCCAAGGGAAGGTGGCCCCAGTCCCAAGTTGGCCCCATGGCGGCCCTCAGAGGCCCCCACAGCAGCCCCCACAGCCCTTGGAGAGGCCGGTCTGACAGGCCACAGCCGGAGGGATGACCGGTGGCTGCTGGTGGCACTCCTGGTGCCCACATGCGTCTTCTTGGTGGTCCTCCTTGCACTGGGCATTGTGTACTGCACTCGTTGTGGCCCCCATGCGCCCAACAAGCGCATCACCGACTGCTATCGCTGGGTCACCCACGCAGGAAGCAAGGGCCCAACGGAACCCATGCCCCCCAGGGGCAGCCTCACAGGGGTACAGACCTGCAGAACCAGCGTGTGATTGGGCGCAGACCCCCTGCGGGGTAGGGGGAAGGGACATGCCCTGGACACATGGCCAAGGCTGCACCAGGGACCCACAGGGGCTGCCCAGCTGGACAGAGGGTGTCCTGCTCCTGGGCCCAGCCAGGCTCCTCTCTCACTCAACCACTAGACTCAGCTCTTGGAACTCTGCTCCTTGGCCCAGCACTCATGACAGAGGATACACCAAGGCTCCCAGCACTTCAGGGGGTGGGTGCTGGGGCCTTCTCCAATAAATCGGGTGCCAACCTCATCCAAAGCTCCTGACCCCTATTGGTGCCTGAGGGGAGGGTCTGGAATGACTCAGAAAAAAGGAGGGGATCTTCCTTCAGTTTGTCCGGGTATGGAGGTAAGGTAAGACCCCTTAAGGGAAGGTATATTTCAGAGATCCTCAGGGAAGCAGGAGCCGAAGAGGGCACAGACCTGCCCAAGGTCACACAGTGAGCCCAGGAGTGGGAGGTTTGGCATGGGGAGAATTCCATATTTGATCTTTTTTTAACCAAAACTCCAAGAAGGTGGGGCTGAATCTGGGGGAGGGTTCTGGAATGAGAGCTTCTGACGAACTGGAGCCAAACTGGGGTTTAAAGTCAAAGGTAGGCTCTGAGGACCAGTGATTCAGGGGAGAGAAACAGGACGTCTGATGGGTGACTTTCTCCTCACTAACCTTCTTCTGGTACTTCCGTTCCCATCTTCACAGGCTGCCCAGAAGTTGGAGCCTGGGGCTCAGGGTCACCCAAGGGTGCTGCCACCCCTCTGGGTTGGAGGTGCCCTTGGAGATGCTCCTGCTCCTTGCTCTAATCACCTCTTCAGGAATCAGACGAGCCTGGGAGGCTGGGATGGGGGAGCATCGAACCCAGGAAAGATCTCCCACGTCCAGCTCCCAGGCAGCCTCAGGAGCAAGGCCTTCCTGTTTGGGGCCACACTTTGCTCTTCTCCGTGTAGGTTGGGGGTGGTGCAAGGACAGCGAGAACTCAGCAGACCCAGCTCGAGCAAGAGTTCAGGCTGCTCAGGGCTGAGATATCCCAGGACCTGGAGGAGGGGCTGGTCAAAGATCACAGCCTGGGGGGTAACCTCCCTCATCCTGGGTTCACTGCCTTAGGGGCAGGGGCGGGACCTGGGCGGGGGAGGCGCCGGTTCCCACCGCCTCTGTAATTTTTCAGTTGCAGCCTCTCTGGGGCCTCTAATTAGGACGGGGCAGAACCGCCACGACCACCCGGGCAGGCGAGGAGGGGTGGCCCAGTGCCTCCTTCCCTATCCGGAGCCCGATGCCATCCTCTGGCCCAGGGACTGGACCTGGGCCTTGGCTGGGCCCCAGGGGCGCAGAAGAGGGGCCTGATGCGGGGGACGAACCGGGGGTCGCCGAGGGGACGGAGGGAACGCTACGCACCTCCCGCGGCCCCTTGCTCTCACGTTCCCCTAACTCAAACCAGACGCCCCCGCTAAATCCTGCTCAGCTTTTAACCTCGGAGATGCCACCGGGGAGGTTTGCTGGATGGGAGCGGCGGCCGCAGAGCGGCCCAGACGGCTGGGTCTAGGAAGGAGGTGCATGCGCTGCACGGGGAGTGACAAGGCCTGCCGGGACTGGAAGGACAAGGACCACCGTGACCCGGGGTAGGGGATCCAGAGCGCCCCGAGGGCAGGAATGAGTTAAATGCACTGCAGTCGGCGGGGGGATGGGAGTGGGGAAGGGGGCCCAGAGCCGCTCTTTGTCATCCTGTAATGAGCACCAGATGCGGAGCTGCGTGCGGGCCTAAACAGACGGCCTCCGGGCGCGGAGTCCCCGCCTGCCCGGACCCTGGGCTCCGCCCAGCCGAGAGTGCGCCTCAGGCTCCGCCCACGCACCCTCGGGCCCCGCCTCCTCCAAGCGCGGCCCACGACCGCACAGGCTCCGGTGCTGTCAGCCGGGTCCCGCGGACCTTCGAGCCACGCCCACCCACTGCAGTCCGGCGTCCCCTTGGGAGCTCTCCAGAAGGGCCGCCCCCAAGGCCACAAGCCTCGCCCTCTGCCAGCTCAGAGATTCCCGCAGACCCATTGCCCCGCCCCCCGCCCTATCAGCCCCGCCCAGCCCCGCCCACCAGCGCCATAAGCCCCGCCCCCTCGGCGCGGCTCGCGCAGACGCTGGCACAGCTGTGGGTCCCGGCTTCTCGGAGTAGGAGCTTCGCGCGTTCTCCTCACGCAGCGTTAAAGTGCCCCGCCGCTTCACGGAGCCCGTGACTGCAGAGAATCCCGCGGAGACAGTAAGTCCGTCCGGGAGGCGTGCGGACTCCTCTGTGCAGAAAACACGTTGAGTTCCTCGCGAACACCTCGGTAGACTACAAGCCCCGCCCCTTCCCCAAGCTAATAACCCTTCTCACAGAGGTAACGGTCACCTGCACACAGTCCCGCCCCCGGGCCCGCCCACTGAAGATGCCCGCAGGCCCCGCCCCTGATGGGCTCTTAAGTCCCGCCCACTCAGAGAAGGAAACCCGGCCTCTTACTCACGCTCCGCCTCCTGCGAGTGGGCGGCCACGCCCACACTTAGGCTCCACCTTCTGCGGACGCGAGCCCCGCCCGCGCCGGGCCGAATCCCGTACTACACCCTTCAAGGTGTGCAGCCCCGCTGCTCCTCCGGGGCCCTCATCTTTGACCAGGATGGCCCCGAACACGGCCGTGGCGCTTGCTTCTTCCTCTACCCACGGTTTCCGTTCGTCCAGATTCTGGGCTCTCTAGACGGAGCCTCCGGACTGGGCATCGAGAGCCGGGTAGCTGGCGTCGATGAGTGGGTCTTTGGCGCCACCTGGCTTCGGCACCGCGGACTGCCAGCCCCTGGGAGGCCCCTCTCCCCAAGTTTACTAATTGCTCAGTAAATAGTTACTTAATTTATTAAATGTTTGTGTTACTTAAATGTCTGCCGCTCCTCCGGGCAGGACAGCAGATCCCCTCGCAGGTACCCTTCCTCATATTTGGAAGTCGGTTCCCAGGGCGACTTCACACCAGCCCTCATGTTACCCTGTGAGCTGAGGCGGCCCTGCTAGTCCTTAAAGTGGCTGGTCGGACTCTGCTGTGCTGTCCCTCTGCCACGAATCCTGTTCTTGGGGGTGAAAGGCTGTGCTTTCCTAGGGCCCGGTTCCCTCTTTCCCACACTAGTGCTCCCAAGTGTGGACACTTCCCAGGGTGTGTGTTTGGGCTCAGAAGCCTCCACGTGGGGGGCTGAAGGTCATAGATTTTAGGGACGGACTGATGTCAAGCAATGTCTCAGGGCAGACCTCTATCTCAGCACTCATCACTACATGTGAAAATGCTCACCTGCCCACTCCCACAGGATAGTGGGCTCCGAGAAGGCAGGAAACTCTGGAGTTCAGTGGTAAGAGTTCAAGAAAATGTTTTTCAAACATGATTGGGAGATTGGGAGCTAGGGTCGAGGGGGGAGGGAACTAACACCTACTAACCTCCAGCTGAGCACCTTTCACTGCCTGCATTAGGCACGCGGTGGAGCTCCAGTGCCAGCCTTGCACAAGCCACCTCTGGACACATGCAGGCCTGGGCAGTGGGATTCTTTCCAGGCAGGGCTCCAACTCTGGTGCCCTAGCTGCTACAAATGGGAGTAGGGTTTGGTGCCAAGTAAGAATGAAAATAGTAATGAATGCTTGAAGTACTTATTACATACCTGGTCCTATTCTAAGGGCTTTACATGTCTTAATCCACTTAAGACCCATAACAACCCCCATGACATAAGTGCCATTCTTACCACAATTTACAAACACTTGCCTAAGTGCGTTAAGCCATCTGTCTTAGTTGACCCAATTAGTAAGTGGAGGTTTGAACTCAGGCAGATCCTGTGATCTTCAACCTACAGCAGAGCCAGTCCATATGTGATAGCCATGTCTCTAATCAGAAAATGCCCATCTCCCAGGGAACTTGATTTTAGGGATAAGGCTGCAAGACTCAGACTCTCAGAGAGGCTGATGTCACGTGGATTGAACAGGGAGGAGTGAAACCTCCCCCCCCACCCCAGGGAGAGTTAGTCATCTGTGGTTTGGGTGGGTGATGCTGGTAAACAAGGCATTCCCCGTGATTGTGGGATCCTGGAGATGTGCCCGATGAGGTGCAACTGTAGGGCACCTGGCAGCCATGCTTTACTGTGGTTTCAGTGAGTTCAGGGATTTTTTGCCAGGAGGCCAGTTAGCACAGTGGTAAGAGCCAACACTGCACCAGACAGCCTTGGTTGGTCTATTAGTCCGTTTCTATTGCTTATAACAAAATACTTGAAACTGGGTGATTTAAAAAGAAAACAAATTTTATTGTTTACGATTTTGGAGGCCGGGAAGTCCAAAGTCCTGGAAACATATTTGGTGAAAGCCTTGGTGGTGGTGACAAGAGACGGCAGGGTATCATATTGCGAAAAATGGCAGGGCAGGGGGAGCAGAGACTAACGTCCTCACTCACTTTCTTTTTAAAGCCCTCAGAACCACGCCCATGACCACCATTTTTAATCCATTCACT